AGAAAATAAGTTGCAATTAGGGCCTTACTATAGTTACAGAAAAAGTAAAAAATTAACCAAAATTGTCTCATTTTTTTAATTCGAAAAAAAATACTTCATTTTAACAATTAGGGCCTTTATTTGTAGTTTTCGTCTCTTGTATCACTTTCAGTGTCATAATAACCATTAAAACACTCATTCTGGGGGATTTCTTTGTTGGTAATCCCACAACTGTCATTGTGACATTTAGGTTATTTTTGAAATAAAAACAAACTCGAATTAAACCTTTTTATTTTTAATTAACCTCAATTCGGGTACATGTTTTTGCTTCCCAATCAATTTTTTGCCCCCCATGTGGGGCCACAGCACCTCTGGTACCTCCACCGTCCCATTTCTCCTCTGTCCCATCTCCACTAACGCGATTAATAGTCTCGGAATGGCACACGCTGTCCCATTCAACGTATGGACAAACCCATCATGGGTCCTAATCCCCAGCCTCCTTGCCTGATAATCCAGACAATTACTACAACTCGAAATCTCCCCATACAGCCCCCTGCCCGGCATCCACGCCTCAATGTCGTACTTCCGGTAGGCCTGCGCCCCCAATTCACACGGGGGCATGTCCAAAACCTGGAAATGCAACCCCAAACCCCCAAAAACCTCCATTTCAACCCCCAGAATCTCCTCCAAGACTCGATCCGAATCTTGGGGCTGCGTCACAACGAACATTTCCACTTTGGTGAATTCATGGACTCGGTAAATCCCCCGTTCTTCGAGCAAGTTTGACGTTTCTGCCCGGTAACACCGGCTCACTGCTGCCAACCTTAATGGAAGAAAATCCCTGTTTAGGGTTTTTTGGGCGAGATAGCCGGCTAGGGCCATTTCAGAGGTGCCCGAGAGACACAAATCGGGCCCGTGGAGGGCCTCGTCAAGGGCGTAGACTTGGGTGCGCGCCCCCCGGGTGTTCATCCCACAGCCTTCGATAACCCCACGAGGGAGGATATCCGGGACTGAAACCAACTCGAATTTTTTTTTTATAAGGTTGGAGGTGACGTAACGAATCAGGGCGTGCTCCAATTCGGCCATTTCCCCCAAAAGATAGTAACTTTTGCTCCCAGAAAAGTTACCAAGTTGGTCGGTGCGAAGCAGTCTTAATTTCTTGCAAATCTCCTGGAAGTCGAGGTGGGGACCATCGGGGGGCTTCGCCCCCACGATGGTCACGGTTTTGGGGCTATCGCCGTATTGTGACACGTGGGGGTGCGTCCGGTTGGGGATTTTTAGGGCTTCGGACACCAATTCAAGTCTAGTCGGTTCGTAGGCCTTGTCATTCCGGTTTAAGGCTTGGAGTTGGTTGTTTAATTCGTGGACACGCTGTATATTACCGATGCCTTTCCGGTTTGCGATATTTTGAGAGATTTCAGTGATATTTTTGGGGTCACACAAATATTGGATGTCTAAATGGGGCCCTTGAGGGGCTGTTGTGTGACAGCTGCGTGACACTGGATACACATGCCGTGGGAAAAAAACGCGAATTGTGGCTACTTTACGAGAAAACATCATTTATTTCAATGATTTTTTTGAGGTTAGCTGTCATTGAAATGTGACAGCATGAAGATAATTCGAAATCCCAAAGTGGCGAAACGTGTTATTTGACGCTTTTAAAATTAGAATTGCTCCAAATTATAATTAATTACGTGAAATTAATTAATCTAAATAAGGCACTACACTGTTTTTACTGAATAACAAAATTTTGGTATCGGAAAGTATAATTGGTTGCATACCTACTCGAACTCAATTATGATTCAAAAATTAAATTAAATTACTAAAATTAGACATGAAACAATTAATTATGTCAAATAAGTTGACTTAAATAAATACTATTATTGTTCTCATTGAATCAATTTTTTAAGTTAGAATTACATAATAGAAACTAACAATTATTGGTTGCATACACTACCGGAGTTTAATTACAGTGCCAAAGAATTCCAAAATTTTCTGGTACCAGTCAAGTCACTAGTATTTCGTAGTACCATATCCTTTGTTTCAAAAGAACCAACATCGAGGTACCACAACTGGTCCCTTGTTGGTTTCCACTCCACCCCTTTTATTTCAGGAACCCTGAAAAGGAAAATCAAATTTTGCAAAAGTACTAAAAGTGGTACCCAGTTTTGGCGAAGGAGACCAACATGTCCAACATCACATTTTTCATTTTTAATTCATTCTGGGTCAAGGGTCGTGGTACCATCACACTCGTGAAGAAATATTTGGCGTCGTCCCCATGCCCAATCACTGAAAACCAAAGTCAAAATTTTTGGCATTTTTTGGTTCCATGGTACTACTTTTGGAATCGCTTGGGTAGCTAAAAAGGTAGTAAAAAATCGAAGTTTGGTTGATTTTGGACTGGAGTTTGACCCCCGTTTCGGCCCCAAGGAGGAAAAATCGGTCACTGAACAGTTTGACCAACTTTTCGGGGGCCAAAATTTGGTTTTCCCCAAAGTAGTACTCCCGGATTTTTTCCGAAACGTTTTTTTGCAAAGTTGATGGTACTGTGTAATTGAATTCGAGGAAAATGGGGGCTAGAGAGTCCCAATTTTGGTTAACATTGTCCACATCGTTGTCCAAAACTGGAACCAAAATCCAAAATTTTGCAAAATTTTGGTACTCACTTACAATTTTTTTGGAAAAGACCTTCATGGGCGGTATTTGAAACTAGCCATGGTACCTTTGAAACCTTCCCTTGTTTTAATAAATCTAAAGGGGTACTTGTCAAAAAAGGGCTTGGGCCCTTTTTTTCCACAACTGGGGCAAATGGTGCCAGGGGCATAAATTGGTACCCAAAAAACATAGTAGCCTTGGACAAAACTTGTCCCAAGGGTCGTTCCTTAAGACAGTCGACTAGTACCTTGGTGGTACCAATGGGACAACCTAGAGCTTCCCCCAATCTGGAAGCTTTCTCCAAAGGTGCTTGTTGCAAGGCCCAAAAATTCGTCGCTGTCCCACTATGGGACACCCCCCGTTGGAACAACCCATGACTCATGGGTGAAAAATAATGCAAATGGACACTAGAACCACCAGCCGAGAAACCAGTCAAAGTGACAGAATCTGGGTTCCCTCCAAAACTCCCAATATTATTTTTGACCCATTTCAAGGCCATTACTTGATCTTTCAGACCCATATTCCCCGGTACCACTTCATCCTCAGTACCCAAAAACCCCAAAACACCCAAACGGTAATTAAAAGTGACCAGAACCAAATCACGATCCATGATAAAGTCCGGTTTGGCGTAAAAATGCCCACTGCAGTACATAAAGGCCCCACCATGGATGTGTACCATGACCTCGAGCCGGTCATGGGTGCTGGGTGACTCACGTGGGACGTAAATATTGAGATGGAGGCAGTCCTCGTGCCCTGCTGTTACGTTGGGTTGAAGCATGGGTGTTTGGGCACAGGTGGTGGCATGGGACGCGTCCCAGGTACCACTCCATGGGTCGATGGGTTCGGGGGGCTATTTTTATTATTTTAATTTGTTGCGATTGGGACTCACCTCGAACCGTCGGGAACCAATGGGTGGCTTTGCAAATGGGATTCCCTCAAACGCGGCGAATTTTCGCCCATCATGGGAGGTTCTGGTACGACCGCGGATTTCGCCCAATGGGGTTTTGACCAGAGGGTCGGAACATTTTGAACCTTTTTCAAAGTTATTAGTTCGCACCATGAGGTTTTGGTACTTACCGGAAATAATCAACAGGAGAGGTACCAATGGTACCAACATTTTATTTTTATGTAAAAGTGTTGGTTTGGTTACACTAGTCTTATCAGTAGTTGTTTTGATGTTAAATTAGTCTAAACACTGATCTACATATAAATAGTACCACTGGTACCACACCTATAACAATTGTATAATTCTTTTGTTTGCAAATACAATGCTTGGTGTTATTCAACAAGTCATGGATTTAATTAAAAATTCTCCAAAACCTTGAATTTTTATTTTTGGTAATACCTGAAGTACTTATTTTTTTATAAAAATCACAATTTTGAAAAAATGGTTCCAAAAAATCTAAAAATCAGGAACAAAACTAAGGTTTTTTCTTATTTGACCACCAAAATGACTGGATTTGGATCCACTTGAAATGTTTTTTGCAAACTTGGTAATAAAATACAGCTATTTTGGGCTTTTTTGATTACAAAAATGACTTTTGGACAACAATTGGGGTCTCCCAGCCTACTGCGAAAGAAGTCAAAAATTAATCAAAAAGTAGTCAAAATCGTTTTTTCAAAAAAAAATATCTGAAATATTGCAAAATATAGTGTCAAACTATATTTTTGCCATCGGAATGACCGGATTTGGATTTGAAATGTTTTGTTTTTTTTTTACAAATTTGGTAATAAAATACATTTGTTTTGACTGTTTTGGTATAAAAATAACATTCTGCCGGCAATTGGGACCTTACTATAGCTCCCAGCCTACTACAAAAAAGTCAGAAATTAATCAAAAAGTAGTCAAAGACGTTTTTTTATTTAAAAAATGTGATATATAGCAAAAAATAGAGTAAAACTTACTAACTTGTCATCCTAATGACCGGATTTGGATCCACTTGAAATGTTCTGGCTTATGTTTTTTTGCAAGTTTGGTAATAAAATGCAGTCATTTTGGATTTTTTGATTATAAAAATCACTTTTGGACCACAATTATAGCTCCCAGCCTACTACGAAAGAAGTCAAAAATGAATCAAAAAGTAGTCAAAATCGATTTTTCAAAAAAAAAATCTGAAATATTGCAAAATATAGAGTCAAACTATGTTTTTGCCATCGGAATGAGCGGATTTGGGCCTATTTGAAATGTTTTGGTTTTTGTTTTTTTCCAAGTTTGATAATAAAATACATCAGTTTTGACCTTTTTAGTTATAAAAATGACATTTGGTCGGCAATTAGGACCTTAATATAGCTCCCAGCCAACTACAAAAGAGTCAAAAATTAATCAAAAAGGGGTCAAAATTGCTTTTTTTATTAAATGTGTATTAAAAAAATGTGAAATATGGCAATGTATACAACAAAATTATGATTTTGCTCCCGGAATGATCGGATTTGGTGCCACTTGAAATCTTTTGGTTTGTGGTTTTGTGCCAGTTTGTTCACAAAATATAGATTTTTGGGTTTTTTGACTACGAAAATGACCTTAGTTTGGCGATTGGGGCCCTAATTGCGCACTTAGCCTACTATGATACAAGCTAGAATTAAATTTTTTTTGATAAATTTTCACCTAACAACAAATTTTGCTGTTATCTATTTGTTATTTAACATATACTTGACCTGATAATTCACTTCTCAATCAAATAGTAAATAAAACACTCAAATTTATTTAAAAAATAAATCACAACTCATCTTTTAACAAAACCAAATTTTGATTCTCCAAAAATCCCAAACTTTTCCAAAAATCTCGCGGTCCTAGCTCTTTCAGCGTTTCGACTTTGACATCTTCAGGCGCAAAACCGTCAATTTTGACAAATGAAATGTCAGGTGCTTTGACCGGTGGCCAGTCAATATCGAAAATTTTTGGTTTCCTGTGAATCACATTAAAAAAAAACAATTTTTTTTTTCAAAAGTACCCATTTTTGACAAAACTGAGGAACATCTCCATCAAGACATCCTTGATTTTGAGTTCGTTGGGTGTTGGTTGTTTTTGGAACATGTTGTAGAAGAAGTACTGCGCGTCCTCGCTGTGGGCCACGGCTGAAAAAAAATTTTGAAAATTTTGAAAATTTTTGTAAAATTGGTACTTTTGTTGGTACTGGAGTCCGAAGGGAACCCGAATTGGTAGTAGTAGACCGGGGATTTGGTACTTTTGGCTTGTAGTTTAATGGCGGAGTCAACATCGACCAAAAACCGGTCACTCACAAGTTTTACCAATTTTTCGAAATTTTTTTCCGAAATTTCTTCATCTTCAAAATAAAAATTTCTGATTTTTTGGGCCGTGGTCTTCCACATGGGCGTTGCTAGAGTGTCATTATAATCAAGTATGTATCGAGCCATTTCGGTCCAGTTTTTGTTAACAAAGTCAAGTTCTTTGATCAAAACTAAAAAAAAATTTTTTAAAATTTCAAAAATTTTTTTTTTTGGTTTTAATTACACGCAGTTGGGAAAAGTCCTTCATGGGTCACACTCGAAACCATCCATGGTAGATCCTGAACTTGCCCAGTGGCCAAAAGGTAGTACAAATTTTTGGTAACAAAGCCCTTTGGCCCTTTTTCCAAAACGGGCCCAAAAGGGGCAACTGGTAGAAATTTGTACCCAAAAAATCTGGGCATTTGACCCAGAATATGTCTGGCTGGTCGCGCCTTCAAACACTCCACCAACCCATTGGTACTCCCCATGGGACACCCCACCCCCTCCCCCACCATTCTCGCCCTCCTTGCCGCCTCATCTTGCAAAACAAACGAATTCAAGGCTACCCCACTTTGGGAGAACCCCCTTTGGAACAACCCATGACTCATGGGTGACAGGTAGTGCAAATGGACACACGACCCACCCGTCGATAACCCATGCAAGGTCACACACGATGGGTCCCCCCCGAAACTCCCAATATTATCCTTGACCCATTTCAAGGCCATCACTTGGTCCTTCAACCCATTATTACCGGAAATGACGTCATCACCGGTACTCAAAAACCCAAAAACGCCAACTCGATAATTCAAAGTGACAAAAATCACGTTTTCGTCCATGAAATACTCGGGATGGGCATACGAGTGCCCACTACCATACATGAACAACCCACCATGGATGTGGACTACCACGGCGAGGGTCTCCGATGGGTCTGGGTGGTCACGTGGTACATACACGTTCAAATATAGACAGTCCTCGTCCCCTTGGGGTACTTCCGGGTTCATCAGAGTCGTCTGGGCGCACTCGAAGATGGTACTGGCGTTCCAGACACCCTCCCATGGGTCGATGGGTTCCGGTGGTTCGAATCTGAGACTACCAATGGGCGGTTTGGCGTATGGAATACCCTCAAAAGCCGCAAAAACGTTGCGTTTCGCCGACTTGCGATGGTACCCTTGGAGCTGACCCAATGGGGTGCCCACCATGGGTCTCTCGGCGTGGGTTAGAGCGAAAAGGGCGACGAGAGTGAACCACGTGGGAGTCATAGTGATAATACTTGCGATAAATTAATCACACGAGTTTTATACAGAATTTTTTCTTTTGATAAGATAATGAAATTTTTTAGATAAGTATGAAAACTGAAATAAAATTTGATTGCATTTCTGTTGGTTATTGACCTCATATTTCAGGTAAACAAGAGTTGAGTGCATTTCTTGCAATTCCCTTCGATGCATTTTTCGCGGAACTATTCTCCATCTCTCTCTTTCAACAAGTTCGGGTATTTCTCTATCTCTCTCTTTCGACAGGTTTGAGTACAGCGAATGCAGTAAATGCACAATTTTTTATCGTTAGTTCATTTGCATCGTTTAGTGGTCACTCATCACATCCTTGTTTTTCGTAAGTTTTTTTATTATTAATTTAATTGTTTAAATTAAATTGTAAATTGTTTTTTTTTAATTTAAAGTTAGAAAAAATTATTCCGTGATTTTGTGTTCAAGCGGTTTAAAAATTGTTATTTTTGTTCCGGGTTTTGCAAACCGAGTGTTGCAAACAAAAATTTTTCTACAGCTTCCAAAACTCATTAAAACCTCTTGTTTTTTTTTTCATTTCTTGAAAATTGTGGTTGAAAATAAAAAATTGTATTTAAAATAGCTTTAAAACTTATTTAAATGAGTCCGTAAAATAGCTACTTTTAAGAGCGTATACAACACTTTTTTGATGTTATTTTTTTAATTTTGATAGAAATTAAGATTCTTCAAGTTTATTGGTAGTAAATCTCGATTTTTTTTCATTTTGACCACCGAAACGACCAGATTTGAACTTACTTGAAATGTTCTGGTTTTTGATTTCTTCATTTTTTATTTTTTTTTGTTTTGATTGTAAAAATGGGTTTAATTTAGTAATTAAAGCTTTAATATGTTAAAATTTCTATTTTTTATTCACAAATTCTTTTGCATTTGAAATTAAATAAATAAAAATTTTAGACTTTTAAAACTCACTATCAAAAACAAATTTTGTTTTTTTTTGTAAATTTTAACAAATAATGGGCTTAAACTATACAATTTTAAAATTTTGCAGTTTCAACACTCAATCTTAAACTTCCCATTGAAAAAACACTACAATATTAGTGACAAATATTTAAAAAAAAACTATTTTCTATTAATATTAACAGAAAATGACCTTAAATTTAAAAAAAATATAAAACGTTATAATAATAGTAGTGAATCTATGATTTTGTTGCATTTTGACCATCGGAAAGACCAGATTTAGATCCACTTGAAATGTTCTGGTTATTGATTTA